TTGCAGAATGTGCCTTTTGGTGGTGTAAATTATTATATATGTGTGAGTGTTTAAAAAAAAAAAAAAGAGCTAAGTGAATAAAGAGAAATACTATTATCTGATAGTACATGGAGGGAATTATAATAATTGTAATGAAACAAGGTGTATGATTTGTTGAATGTGCAACTGATGATCTGCCCTGTAAATTTTCACTATATTTACAATAAAAACTTTAAAAAAAGAAGATGGAAGAAACAGACAGGGTGACTGCACCAAAAAGAAATGGTTAATTTAAACCATTTCAAGTGATAGCATCTGATCTAGAGCAGATGATACTGAAGGAGGAAGTCCAAGGTGCCTTGAAGTCATGGGCAAAAAACAAGGCATGGGGAATTAATGGAATGCAAATTGAAATCTTTCAGCACACTGATGTGGCACTGGGGACACTTACTTATCTATGTCAAGAAATTTGGAAGCAACTACCTTTCCAACTGGCTGGAAGAGATCCTTATTTGTGCCCATTTCAGAGAGGTGACCCAACAGATTGCAGAAATCATCATGCAAGCAAAGTTTTACTAAAAGTAATGCAAAAATGGCTGCAACTATACATTGCAGAGAACTTCCAGACATTGAAGCCGGTCTCAGCAAAGGACATGGAATGAGGACATCATTGCTGTTATCAGATGGATCTTCACTGAAAGCAGAGAATAACAGAAAGATGTTTACCTGTGCTTTATTGCATACACAAAGGCTTTAGATTGTGTGGATCATGACATGCTAAGGACACCATTGTGAAGTACGAATATTCCAGTACACTTAATGAGGAATCTGTATTTAGTCTAAGAGGCAATTGTTTGAACAGAACAAGGGAACACCGAAGGGTTTAAAATTAGGAAAGGTGTGCACAAGGGTTGTATTCTTTCACCATCCTCATTCAGTTTGTATGCTGAACATATAATTTGAGAAGCTGGATTATAAAGAAAAACATGGCATCAGGATGGGAGGAAGACTTATTAACAACCTGCAATATGCAGATGATAACAATCTTGCTTTCTGAAAGTGAAGAGGACTTCAAATATTTACAGGTGAAGAGCAAAGACCATAGTCTTCCATATAAGTTTGCATTTCAATGCATAGAAAACAAAAATCCTCACCACTGGACCAGGATATATATTTCATTTTATTATTCATAGTGTTGCTATTAGTTGAAAATGGAAGCTAACAATATATGTATGGAAGTGAAGATAACCACATAATATATGTGTGTGTATAAAGTATATATATCAACTATGAGGGACGTTTCTTCAGATGTTTCAGGAGTTTAGGAATTAAAAAGTATTTTGAAAAATCAACTAATTTTGACTCATGAATGGAATGCATATGAAGGAAAGAAACAAGGTAGGATGTGGGTTTAGATTCTGGGTTAGTGGATTAATAGAGGACATTAATCAAAGAGAAACTAAGGACATATATGTTAAGTGTAGGAAAATAGTTTACATATATAATCTATGAAATTTCTGTTTCTTTTATAGGATTTGGGAGATATATTGACAAGGTAAGTTTGGCCTTCAGTGCAGGTTAGAGCACCAAAAAGATTATGGAAGAGATTATGGTGTTTCTATAAGTAGAGATAACTGTTTTCTGGATATGCACAGTTAAGTATGATTTAATGAGTATGTTTTCCATCTTACTTTATTACTCATTAGCCTGGTTTCTTATGGCTCAGGTAGCTATGTATTGCTGGGCTCAGTTAGTGTGTGGCTAGAAGACCTGTGGTTTTAGATTCTAAACACATTGAGGTTAATAAACTAGTCTGTGCCAGATGATGTGAGTGAGACGCAAGTATCTCTGAGAAGTAGAGGATGGACGTGGACAGAGGAGAAAGAAAACTTCTCTTTAAGAGTTAATTGCACAGCCCCATTCCAGATTCTTGGAGGTATACCCTAATACTAGAAATGGGCTTTTGAGGAAACACTTTGAGACCTTTGGAATTAAAAAGATCAAATGCATCTTCCACTTTGCAGGAGTGAGTCTGTGCAACTGCACTTACCCCAGCCTATGAACCCAGTGCTCAGTGCAAGGCCCATACCTGGACTTATACACAGGTTGAACCAATTTCGAGGTGAGTGTCAGCCCACTGGTGGGGTTTTCTTTTTTTAACTTTTTAATTGTGAATTGAATGAAGGTCTACAGACAAAACCATTAGTTTTACATTAAACAAATCAAGCACTTTGTTTTATCTCAGTTGGCAATCCCCTCCATGCAACAACAGTTATCCTGCTTCCTCCCTGTAGTTCCTTTTTCCATTCCACCCACCTTGCCATCACTTCTCAGCTTTGTTCAATGGACAAGATTTCCCCCTCTAATCAGTCTTGATTTAGGAGCGAACAGCTTGCAAAAAAAGGCATTTATAGTTACATTTGCCCTTTGATTTTATGAAAAACATCGAAATGAAAAGTGGGGAAAGGAAAGCTATGAGTCAGACCTGTCATAAATTAGAAATTGAGAGAAAAAGGTAACAAACAGAAAACAGGCTCCTTTAGACCAAGAATCATTCTCACATCCAATATCAGTATACAAAGCTCTATGGTAGATCTAAACCACAGGGATTCTTCAGGCAAGGAGATGAGTAAGACTGAGATTGAACCAAATGTAAAAACTAGAAAATGCTTAGTAGGAGACCCATCTAAGAAAGCATTCTGGGATATGATACTTAAAATTAAATTTAATTGCAAAAGAAACATGATATACCTGGCAAGCAATCACCATTTTTTGGTCTGAGAAGGGGAGTGGAAGTAAGTTCTATTTCTTTGTAATTGTTGTTAGTGTACTGGGCTCTGGTTTGCAACGTGCCATGAAAACCAATCTCCCACAAGATGGCATGACCTCCTGACATTGCACATTCTCTGATATTTTAGGGATTTTTCCTGTGTTGTAGTCAAGTACTTGTTTCTTCTGCATATCTACTAATACCCTTTAGTCTGATTTTCCAGTTGTTTTTGACTATAATATTCTTTCTTCAGTGGAAATTGTCTTCCAGAAAGAAATGAGCAATAAGAGAAGTATGCTGTTTGATGACATGAAACATTTGGGGCTTAGATATGGACTTCAAGATGTGCCTTTTCCTTCTAGAAAATGTAACTATTTTTATGTATAGGGAGAAAATGACCTCACCACTGGAAAACATTACTGGGAGATGAAGGTGAACAACTCTTTTACTGGGCTGTAGGAGTCTATAATAAAGATTCTTGGATAAGTAATAACTACTCATTGGATGAGTCTGAGGACATATTTTTTCTTATGTGTCTGAAGGAGGGTGATTGTCATTATCTCTGGACTACCTCCCCAATGACTTGTCATTATCTAGAGAAACCTGCGGGGTACATTGGTGTTTTTGTTGACTTTGACAGTAGAAGTGTGAGTTTTGTTAATAGTTCCAAGAGTTCCCTCATATGGAACTACAAGGCTAATTCTTTCAATTACCCTCTGAGTTCTTTCATTTGCATTGACTACACATGGTCAGAGACAAGTCAGGATTCTGGGAACTCCACATCTGAGGAAGACCTCCACTGAAGCTAATCAATTACATTTTGCTGTCTCTTAGGTTGTTCTACTTGCATGTAAAATGTTATTATGAATGTAGTCTGAAATGCAGAATGTTGATGGTTTAATATATATTTAATAAAAGCATGTTTTTTTTAACCTGGAATTTGTTCTGTAGTTATTCATCTGCTTTATGAGCTTGCTAGAATTACAAGCATATAAGAGTGATTCCATTTTAAGCCTGCAATAGCAAAGCAATCATTTATTTTCGGACCCTTTCATTTTAATTACATCTTATTTTGCTGGTGGCAGTGCTATAGGGCTCTGGTTCAATCTCTTACAAAGAAGTTCTTCTGGTTTTGTTTTGTTTTTTTCTTTGCTTGTCCCTGATGGTAAGAGCAGTACAAAGCTTTGCATAAATTACTGCCCTAACAGTCCTGGTGTGGCTATAGGATAGGCATTGACTGCAAACCATAATGTTGGAAGTTAAAATTTACCAGCCTATTCTAAGAAAATCTTCTACAAAGTCACTGTGAGTTGGAACAGACTTGTTGGCCCTTAACAGAAGCCATGGTGTTTGGAATTTGGGGCTCTGTAAAACATAAAAACAAAGGGCACAAACTCGATTTCTTCTCTGAAATTGAGAAATGTTCTATTTGAGGAAAATGCAGTTTCAGTTAAAGGATTCCTATGGTGCTGTAGGATCAGTACTGGACTTCAAACCACATGCCGGTAGTTCAAACCCACCAGCTTCTTCTCAGAAACCCTATACAGAGTCGATATTAGTCAGAACCGACTTCACAGCACTTAATATCATCTGTTATACAAGCACTGTGATTGTCATTTTCTGGCCTTTACATGCATATGAAGCTACTGAAGATACCATGATATGTATAAGACACATATTAGTCTTCACAGTGACCTCTTTGCTTTTTCACACTTTAAAGATACCTTGAGCAGAAGATTTGCCTAATGTAATATTTACAATATTTAATTTCTAGATTCTTGCTTCCATAAGCCTTGATTATGAATCCAAGTAAAATGAAATCCTTACAATTTCTATCTTTTCTGTTTATCACGATGTTGCCTATTAGTGCAGTTGTTAGGGTATTTGTTTTCTTTATATTGATGTGCAATCCATACTGAAGGCCATATTCTTCTTCAAGCCACTTCACTTCCAGCAAGAAAAGATTTTATCATATGCATATCACAGGTTGCTAATGAAACCTCCTTTAATCCTGATACCACATTTTTCTTTCTATAGTCCAGTTTCTCAGCTTATTTGCTCAGCATACAAACTGAGAAAGTACAGTGAAAGGATAGAACCCTAACACATATCTTTCCTGATTTTAAAACATACTGCATTCCCTTCTTCTGTTCGAATGACTATTGCTTGTTCGATGTATAGGTTGCTCATGAACACAATTAAGTGTGGAATTCCCATTCTTTGCAATGCTATACCTAGTTTGTTGTGATTCACACAGTGGAATGCCTTTGTATAGTCAATAAAGTACAAGTAAACATCTTTCTGAATCTCCTTAGAAGTCAGTATGGCAAGATTTTTTTCTCTCATACTTAAGATATAAGGAGGGACCAGTCCCTGGAGAAGGACATTACGCTTGGCAAAGTGGAAGGTCAGCAAAAAAGAAGACACCCCCCACCTCTGCCACCCAATGAATGGATTGACACATTGGGAGCAGCAATGGGCTCAAGTGTAACAACAATTGTGAGGATGCAGCATGACTGGGCATAATTTCATTGTGTTGTGCATAGGGTCGTTATAAATCAAAACTGACTCAAGGGCATCCAACAAAGTATGATAGAACGACTTATCTGCTAGATATTTACCTAAAAAAAAAAAAAAAAGTAATTGTTAAAACAAAGATCTATACTTTAATGTTCATAGTAGTTTTATTTTTAATAGTTAAAACTAGAAACAATGCAAATATCAAAAAGGCACATAACAGTATGATTTCATATTTTCTAGAGTTTTCCATAGGTGTAGTTATCTAAATTGACAAAACGTAGATCAGTACTTTATTGGGGGGGCAAGTCAGAGAGGAGAGAGGAAAGAATGTCAAAGGGACATGAAGAAACTTTTGGGGGTTCATCTTCACGCTCTTGATTGTGTTGATAGTTTAACAGATACATATATTGTTATGAGTTGTTCCGACTCAATAGCAACCCTTTATAGGATTTCTGATCTTGTAATCCTTTATGGGAGCAGAAAGCCTCATTCTTCTCCTGAGGAGCTGCTGGTGGTGGTCTCCAACTTCTGACCTTATGGTACTTATCCTACAGAGCCACAGCACTCTCAATCTTGATTGTGTGGATGGTTTAATGGGTACATATTAAAATGTTCATATTGTTGTTATTAAGTGCCATTGAATTGGTTCCAACTCATAGGATGCTGCATAGGGTTTCCAAGGAGCAGAAGATGGTGGGTTTGAATTCGTAACTTGTGGTTGCAGTACCACACCAAGGTTCAAATAGAATAATTTAAATATGACTAGATTATTTTAGGCCAATTAGGAATGTTAGAATAAAAACTCTTCAGATTTTAGAAATTTAAAGAGGAGAGTAAAAACTAATTGCTATAGAGTCAATTCTGACTCACAGTGATGCTCTGAGGGTCAGAGTAGAACTATGATCCAGAGAGTTGTAAACATCTAATTTTTCAGAAGAGGATCATCAGGTCTTTCATCGAAGCACCTCTGTGTGGACTCCAACTTGCAACTTTTCAGTTAGCAGCCAAATATAACCTTTTGGACCAAATACAATCCATTCTTAATGGGGTCTCTCTGAATCTGAATTGACTAGAAGGCAACAGGTTTCTTGATGTGAGTCGCTCCTCCTAGTGACTTCTCTAGACACTCAAGGAGGTTTTGTTGTTAAGTGCTGTCCAGTCAGTTCTGACTCACAGTGACCTTGTATATGGTTTCCAGGAATGACTTGTGGGTTTGAATGTTGTTAAGTGCTGTCCAGTCAGTTCTGACTCACAGTGACCTTGTATATGGTTTCCAGGAATGACTCGTGGGTTTGAACTAGTGACCTTGTGGTTGGTAGCCAATTGTGTATCCTACAGCGCCTCACCAGAACTCCACTCAAAGAAGTATTAAATCTGAATTTGGGCCTAATTCTTGTCTAAAGTATGTTCTCTGTAAATGTGACACAGGGCTCCTTCTGTTTGAACCCCTCCTGAGAATTTGCATTTCCAGACCACAACAATTTAATCAGAATCTACATTTTAACACAATTCTTAGGTGATTCTTATACATAATAAAATTTGGGGACCACTGCTCTACTAACAGGAGCCCTTGTGGTGTTGTGGTTTAAGATGGGATGACTAACCACAAGGTTAACAATTTGACTCCATCAGGTGTTTTCTGGGATAAAGATGAAACTTTCTGCTCTGTAAAGATTTACAGTTTCAGATACCCTATACCAGGTTTCTATGAGTCCAAATCAACTCCAGGACACACAGCCAGCTAGCCAGCTCTACTAATGTTTTTCTGAATAGGTCCCTAAACAGTAGTATTACTATCTCCTGGGAACTAGTTAGAAACACACAGTTTCAGCAGTGGGTTGAACCAGAATGAATTGGTTGGAAGCCCTGATGTGACTAGTAACTTATTGTCACTGTTTAGGCATCTCCAACAAAGGTTTCAAAGTAGGAAACCAGTTCATTCATCCCAGCCGATAATGTGAGCTACAAACTGTCTTTCCAATAGCTCATAACACTAGTATGCAGTCAATGAAAATGACTTTTGAATTTCAGCCACACTTTTCTTTTTATACGATTGAAATACATTCTCTTCTGTTTTTAGTTTTGCTGAAATTTGTGGAATTTGCCCTAAAGAACTCAGCTGGCCTTCGCAATCCCAGTTTGCAACCTAATCCCTTCACGTGTTCCAGGTGGGGGTTCCAGCGGAGTAGAGAGGAACCTGAGCCCTAGAGCAGATGGGAAAGGTTTGAACACGTACTCACTACAAATCCCACCAAGAAAAAAGCTAGAGCTACAGCCAAGCACAGCCACAGGTACAGGAGGCGCCAGAAGTTCACCCTGGTTTCTTTGGGACTGAGATTGAGAACAGACAACACATGCTTAGGGACCTGATTTCTTTATTCATGATAAACACTGGACAACTAAGCAAAAGGTTGGTCATTCACGAGGCTTTAGCCATAAGCCAGACTCCTCAAATATCAAGTGACATTCTCAGAACATGAGTGTGACTGAAGCTTCAGCTGTAGATCACTCCTCCTTCACCATCAGCAGGCAGAATAGAAGCTCTGTATGTGCAGGGAGAGTGGGCAAGAATTTGGGGAAAGGGCAGACTTCACTATATGTTGAAGAATAGCTATTTTTGGGCAGCGGGAGGATCGTTATGAGGGCAGGGGGACTGTAAGGTGGTTTAGAACTAAGTTGTAC